ATTTCTTGCCAAAATACTTATATCAGGCAAAATTGCATTAAAATGTGCAAATTAAGAGAAATTTGTGCTAAACACTAATGAATTTTGATGAGGACTTTTCTAAAAAAAGATCCTCAAACTGATGTGGAAATGAAGGCAAACTGAACTGAAGAGAAATGAGAAACTGAGAGAGAGAAACCAAAACCAATTTGCCCACCCTTACCCAGCAGTCCAATGTTTTATCCACTATGCTACACAATTTTTATTTCTATGCAGGCAGGTCTGGCTGCATTACTTAAATTTGACCAAAAGAGGCCACTGTCCTCTCTCCCACCATTCTGGTTTTTAGGCACTACTGCTCTGATTAAACATCTCTCTCTCTCTTGCTCTCTCTTTGTACAGTGGTACCTCAGTTTCCGAATGTCTCCATTGACGAACATTTTGATTTTCGAACGCCGTAAACTCGGAAGTAAATGCTTCGGTTTTCAAAAACGCCTCGGAAGTCGAACATGCCACACGGCTTTCGCTGAGTGCAAGATCCTGAGGCCTAGCTGTTGGCGATTGAGTTTTCAGTTTTCAAACATTTCAGAACTCAAATGGTCTTCCGGAATGGATTACATTCGAAAACCGAAGTACCACTGTATCTTTAAAACTGTTTAAATGCCAACAAACCTTAATGAAGTAACTTATTTGTGTGATCTTTTGTACATGGCCTAGACATCCTGTCCCCGATCCTTGAAGTCTCACCTGGATCTTTCAGTCTCTGAAGGCTTCCAGATATCTTTGCATGCAATCCTTTTTATTTTCAGGTTCACTTAAGAGGGTGACCAAGGATAACGAAGTACCTGCTTATGGAACCAGGTGAGCAGATGTTCCAAAATAATTTTTGCAGTTTTGAAACCTGCTTTTTACAGAGTGTACTAACCCTTTGCCTCCTCCAGATTTGGGTATATCTAGCCTTTCAAATGAGGCATTTGGATGTTTTGTTATACAGTAAATAGTTCATTAAAGTCCCACACATTCCAACAAATTGTAACAGTTGCCCTGCCAGTTTCCCTTTCCAAAGCACCTACCCGCACCCCAGCACACTAACCCATACCACAACTGCAATTCAGTAACAAATTCCAGTTTCAGATAGAGAAAAGTCATTGCTAAATAAATAGCTAATTCATCTTTGTCACAAATGTGTAGGTCACCATGTGTACAGATTAGCCTATGAAGCTAATTCAAGTCAGCACCGGAATACCTAATTATCGCTACCAAAACATTATTGCCAGAACTGTGTTAACCCTAATTTCATGTTTAAGGAGTCTTTGTATAGAAAGATGCTAGTAAGAGTATTTTAAACTTGAGTGGGTGGTTTTAACTGATCTGAAGATAGATGTAGGTGGAATTACTATTAAGAAGGTGACATAATAATGCGTACAGTACAGTGGTACCTCGGGTTAAGAACTTAATTCGTTCTGGCGGTCCGTTCTTAACCTGAAACTGTTCTTAACCTGAGGTACCACTTTAGCTAATGGGGCCCCTGCTGCTGCCACGCGATTTCTGTTCTCATCCTGAAGCAAAGTTCTTAACCTGAGGTACTATTTCTGGGTTAGTGGAGTCTGTAACCTGAAGCATCTGTAACCTCAAGCGTCTGTAACCTGAGGTACCACTGTAGTAGAATTTCCTGTTATTAGTAATTTGATTATGTAAGAATTCAGTATGTACACAATTCTGCTAAGACCCACTCTGTTGATATATTCAGTTCATAGTTTGTGAGCACTGCTCTTTGTGGATGGATTAAGAAAACCAATATTCAATACTTATCGAGGGGGGGAAACAGCCGTCCCATTCACACACTTACCCAGAGTGCAGCAGCCATATCCCAAGGCTATAATTTTATGTTACTTATAAAATCATAGAATCATAAAATTGTAGAGTTGGGAGGGATCCCAAGGGCCATCTAGTCCAACCCCCTGCAATGCAGGAATCTCAGCTAAGCATCCATGACAGATAGCCATCCAACCTCTGTTTAAAAATCTCCAAGGAAGGAGAGTCCACATGATGAGCATTTTACCAGGACAAGGGGTGACAGCTCAACCAAATCAAAAACAAAAAACACCCCACCATGTGATTTGAAATATTGCCACATATTCCTGAGCCAGTGTGGTGTAGTGGTTAGGGTGTTGGGTTGGGACCTAAGAGACCAGAGTTCAAATCCCCACTCAGCCATGAAGCTTGCTAGGTGACCTTGAGACAGTCACAATCTCTCAGCATGCCCTCCCTCACAGGGTTGTTGTGAGGATAAAATGTGGAGGGAGGAAAACCATGTATGCCACCTTGAGCTCCTTGGAGAAAAGGCAGGATATAAATGCAATAATAAATACAGCAGTACCTCGGGTTACATATGCTTCAGGTTACATACCCTTCAGGTTACAGACTCCACTAAGCCAGAAATAGTACTCGGGTTAAGAACTTTGCTTCAGGATGAGAACAGAAATCGTGCTCCGGCGGCGCGGCGGAAGCGGGAGGCCCCATTAGCTAAAGTGGTGCTTCAGGTTAAGAACAGTTTCAGGTTAAGAACAGACTTCCGGAACGAATTAAGTACTTAACCCGAGGTACCACTGTAAATACAAATAAACAGCAGTATAGGATGAGTTCAAAGGGAAGGCGGTCCTCTTCGCAAAGGCCAGGAAACTCCAAAAGCAAGCCTGACCAGCACAGTGTAACAGTTGTGTCTTCATAAAGCTGGTCAATTTTCATCACTACAAAAATGCAACATATTCAGGTCGAATGAAATAGACTAGAACTCCCAGTACAGGATTTGTTTTCATCTTAATTCGTGTTCATAATCACGGCTAATGCACTGCTACTAGATTCTGATTTGTGCTGTAAGCCGTTTAAAGTTCTGTCGCATCAATTTGGCAGCAAGCTATGTTATGTATAGGTGAAAGCAACTGTGAAAAATGGGCCTACAATGTTTTATCCTTGAAATCTAACCTTTAGGTTTTATCATTGTTGAGTGCCCCTAATGTACTGTGTAAGCTTCAGCGTGTAATTTAACGGGTGAATGGGATTTGCCCATCGCTGAAATTGGTGAAATTCCACCAATGCGTTTGAGACTGCATCACTGCTAGTCATCTGTGAATCGCTCTTTTACAGCTTTGCCCTAAAATTTGTTGTGCCAGCAAAAATGTGCTTAGAAGAACAAGGCAAACCAACTGTTGTGTCAGCACATCACTGGCCATAATATTGTGGTGCTATTGGCAGATGTTCAAGTATAATTGTTGGTGGATAGACACACACACACACACACACACAAATAGTTAGCATTGGCATCTAAATGTGAGCTGGTGCTTCACCATCCATCAAATGAAAACTTTTGATTCCATCTATTTTGGGCCCTCTCAATGAAACGTGGCACTGAGGGAATCCTTTGACAGGTACAGTATGTGGGTGAGGCAAGCAAAAGTAGAGTACATCTGTCCTCACTTGGTTAAAATCCTGAAAGGGCTTGCTAGCAGTAGGTGGGATGAAGAGGGCCAGAGAAAGCACTGCAAGGAGGGTTCTGAAGCCTTTTCCTGACTCTACATTTTGGTATTCGCCCAAGCCAGAAAGGAGCTATGGCTTGCAAGCTTGCTTTGGAGAGCAAGTACCATATTATTTGCCCTATAGGACGCACTTTTTCCCTTCCAAAAACAAAGGGGAAATGTGTGTGCGTCCTATGGGGCGAATGCAGGCTTTCGCTGAAGCCTGGAGAGCGAGAGGGGTCGGTGCGCACCGACCCCTCTCGCTCTCCAGGCTTCAGGAAGCTATCCGCAAGCCTTGGGAGCCCGCGGGAGTTCCCGCCGGGCTCCTCTGGCTTGCGCAGAGCTGTCTGCACCCCGAAGCCCGGCGCGCTGAGGGCTCCCACGGCTTGCGGAGAGCAGCCTGTTCTGGGGGCTGGGGTCGGGGGAAGTTCGGGCTTCCCCCGCCCCAGCCTCGCGCCTGGGGGGGGAAATAATTTTTTTTCTTTATTTCCCCCCCAAAAAAACTAGGTGCGCCTTATGGGCCGGTGCGCCCTATGGGGCGAAATATACGGTAGTTTTGATGGAATTGCAAAACAGCACTTGTGCTATTTGAATTAGAGTGAACTAAGGGGGAAAGTGTGTGTGTACATAGCTCATTCATGCAGTAGCAAACCACGGTTTAGTTTATGCCTGAACTAAACCAGAGTAGGTAAATGGTGGCGGTGGTCTTTTCAAAGCTATGAAATCTCAATTAAATTGTTTTCATACGTGGCCTGCAGTTGGCACTTTCAGCCCCAGGCTACACATGAAAACAAAAAATAAGCTTCTCTACACACTGGTTTTTAAATTTTGCTGATTTTGCCTGTATTTTGCCGATTTTGCCTGTATATTATCGATACAGTGGTACCTCAGGTTAAGTACTTAATTTGTTCCAGAGGTCTGTACTTAACCTGAAACTGTTCTTAACCATTAGCTAAAGCACCACTTTAGCTAATGGGGCCTCCTGCTGCTGCCGCACCGCTGGAGCACGATTTCTGTTCTCATCCTGAAGCAAAGTTCTTAACCTGAAGCACTATTTCTGGGTTAGCGGAGTCTGTAACCTGAAGCGTATGTAACCTGAGGTACCACTGTAGTTTTTTTCTTTATTTTTGTGTGCATGAAACCGTTGACAATTATTCTCATTTAGTCCTAACCCTTTAAGCCAGTGGTGAGGAGCTCATGGCCCTCCAGATGGGCTCCATCTCCCATCAGCCCAAGCCTGCACGGCCAATGATGATGGGGATTTTCCTACCCTTACGATATACTATTCACTATGTCATACTGATCCCAGCTCTAGCTGTTCCTAACGTGAAGGTTTCTGAATAAATTGCTGCTGTGCATGACTCTGGTTTCTTCCCAGCACTTCCCAACTGATTGTATCTACTGCATCACAATAGCACTTGCATCACAATGCTACACAGACCTTGAGTTCATGGCCTCAGGCAAGGATGCAATTTTCTTTCATCATCCTGCAGAGGTGGGTGGCTTACACCAGCGTTTGGATTCGCATCTTTCCACTTCAAGCGTGTTCAAGTGACCCACAGTTAAAAATTCATTTCCAAAACTATAGGGCAGAGAGGTAAGAGAGTCTATCCATACACAACCTTGTAGAATGAGGAAACAGCACTTGTGTCCTGCAACTAGACATATTATTAAATTGTATGAACTTTAGTGCTTAAGAAAATTAAAGCGATGCCAGGCTCTCAAGTCAGTCTGGAAACAGCATTTTCTGATCTGGAGATCCTTTAGTTGCTGATGTGCCGGATTCTGCACTTCCTCAGTGGTCATATAAATGTGCTCAGCTTATTCAAGGGCATTTTTTTCCTTTTCATGCATCTCATGATTAAGCCCTGGCTTTGAGAACAAGGTGTCAGGGCTGAGCCCCAGTACAAATTTAATACAGATTGCCTTCATGAAAAATTTAATCCCCTCCCACAAACTAAGTTGGAGAAGCTACGTCTGTATTTGTTCTTTCCAGCGGTTGCACACTAGAAGCGAATGCTGCATCAGCAAGGACTGTTATTCTGGGACAAATGGTTTTGTATCGCAGAGCCAACCTGAATTAGTTGGTTTCTGACATCCTCTTAAATTGCTTCTCTCCACACTGCAAACTCTGCCAAGAAGTGCACCAGTGGCGCAATTTCCTTCATCTTTCATAAGTGAAACAACACAACGTTCCTGTTCTTCCGCCACAAGAGACTTGTCCGAGTGGAACAAAATTCTGCCCTGCACTCCCCCTCCTGTGAACCTTTAAAATCAGTGTGGGGAGAAGTGCAGCTGCACTAGAACTCTGCACTAGATACAACTTGATGTGATCAACTCTCCCCTCCCTGTATTTTATTCAAGTTGGCACCTGTGCTTGCACGTAAGCCAAGGTCTGTTTCTGCTCTGGAAAGGTAGGGATGGTCACATGGGGTTGCTTGTGGGGCTGCTCTGGCTATACATGATGTTAGATCCCCAGAATGCAGCCTCAATATCACCAGAGATATTTTGTCCCATGCATTTTTTTTTTATTGCAACAGCTTGAAATTGGAACCTTCTTTTCAAGTCAAAACTTTTTAAAATTATATTAACAAGATACAATGATTTCAAGGTATCATTGAAGACTATGGGCACTGGTTGTCATTGCTGATATCCCAAATCAGCACTGGAAAAGGAAGCAAAAGGAAATGCAGACCATTACAAATGGATTGTTTGGTGAGCAGAGCATTAATCCAAGCTTCTGCTGATGCACACGGCAAAATCCAGAGATCTATCAAATGCTGCTTTTGAATTCAAGCAAGCTGACTACTATGTGCAACATTTTGCCTGTGCCCTTACAAAATAGCTCACTCCAATGACCATGAGTCATAATTGAGTCTGGCAGATAAGTGTGGTAAAAATAACTTCATTATGGAACTAATCCAAAAAATTTAAAAAAAAAACCAAAGAAGCAGAAGACTCTGGCTGTGATAGTGAACAGAACTTTATTTAGATCAAAAGGTTAATTGGGGGGCTTATAAGAAAAGATGGCAAGCCAATGGCACAGTTCTGTGACCGCATATAATCCATTCCACCTCTATAGCAATATATAATGGGTTGAATATCTAGCGAGAGAAATGTGATTTCTGTGAAACCTGCCCTAATTTTTTAAAAATTGAAAGCAGTGCTGTCCTTACATGAGCAGAATAGACTACTGCTTCCACCTCCCAGAGGATTGGGAGAGCTTCAGAGAAGGGTGCTTTCTTGGGGTTTGGGGGTTCGCAGAGGGTTGAAAGGGGAGGTGAACACTGGGTTACATTAATATAGACATAAACAAACTTGTCAAACATATTTATCTATATTATGTCAAACAAAATTTCCTTGTGGCTTACAAGAACATATTCAAAACAATGTAATAATTAAAAACCAACAATAAGGCAGCAAAAATCCCACTCATTACACCCACAAACACACACACAGAGGGAGGGGTGGCACAAATTATTTCTCATAAGAAGAAGAAGAGTTTGGATTTGATATCCCGCCTTTCATTCCCCTTCAGGAGTCTCAAAGCGGCTAATATTCTCCTTTCCCTTCCTCCCCCACAACAAACACTCTGTGAGGTGAGTGAGGCTGAGAGACTTCAGAGAAGTGTGACTGGCCCAAGGTCACCAAGCAGCTGCATGTGGAGGAGCGGAGACGCGAACCCGGTTCCCCAGATTACGAGACTACCGCTCTTAACCACTACACCACACTGGCTCTCTATACCACACTGGCTCTGCAAATAAGTTTGCAGACAATGCTCCTAAGAGTTATATATACTCCTAAATGATGGAATGCACTAGTTTTAAAAAAGGAGTATGTTGACCAAGCACATGGACATCATTTCAAGATTTTATGAAGTGCACCAAGAGCTTTTGGGTAAAACCTGCAAAGGTTCCAACCCATCATTTGTGTATAAATACCCACATATGACTTTTATGCTCTCTTAATTTGTATAGCATGACATTTACTTGTACACAATCGTTATCAGTGCATAGAAGTGTCGCACTGAAAATGACACTTGACTAGAGAGCATGTAAATCAACAAGTTCTTTTAGAATTTACAGGAAAGGGGTAAAAGCTAAATCAGAAAATGTTGACGTGTGGCATGAAGGGGAAATGAAAGCTCTCATGGCATCGCTGACAATTATGAAGGCAACTGTTGAGCATAACTGGCTGTCAGGAACATGAAAATGTTGGTAAATATAACAGCAGATCTCAACAGCTCACACTGTGTGTGTGTGTGTGTTTGATTGGAGTTGTCACTTTTAAACACCATCCTGCTACATGTTCCAAGGATGACTGAAATAACAAAACTTGAAAATATTTTGTAGACTATGGGTTGGATTCAGACCTGCTGTTCCACAAATGGAAGGGCTCCTTCTGTTCGTGGAAGTATGTTGGATCCAGTGGAGGTTTCTACTCCATGGGTGGGAAGAGAAGCCCATTTTTGCCAATACCGTACTATACCGCTGCCCCATTGTCACTTCCCATTCTGTCTTAGGACCACCAACCTTCCAATGCTGGTTTTTGGGAGGCATGGGGAGGGAGAACCAACAAAATAACTTCCTCCCTCTTCCATGCATCCAGTTTGGGATGTTCCACTCCGACCAATGACTGTACTCCACACAACAGTTAAGGTGCATATTAAGAAGCAAAATGTCACATTATTTAGTTTTCAACTGGGACTGTGTTTGTGAAAGACGGAACAGCAATATTGTGTCATCTGTTATTTAGAGCCAACATAGGAAGAGCTTTTATTTACTTAAGGCAGAGACCTAGAATTTTCTACAGCTTGGCCTCTGATTCATCCTAGACACAGAGGTTTAAACATTTGCCTGTCTGGAGGCTGCCGTGGTGTGGCCAAAACATAATTTGCTGGTGCAGTTGACAGACAGCATAATCTATAATATTTTCCAAATGCTAGTGAGTCAACATTTGTACAAGCCAGCCATGACTCATTCTTCCAAGGGAAAGCTTGTTACTGATACGTTAAGATATAAAGTAAATGGTTCTAGTAATTCATCCAATTCCAAGGTCTATAAACTCCAGATCTTTTTAGAAACATATAAGGCAGCTGGTCATATCTTAAAATAATGGCTGGGATCCAAAAAATCTGGCCTTGAGACAGATCAGGAGATTTCCCCCTCTTGTACTAAGATACAGCACCTAGAATAGAATAACAGTGGCATGTTTCAAATGTTCCTACAGGAAGCGGTCAGAGCTTGGATACTGGCAGAAATGTCAAAACCAGCCAAATGTGTACCAATGAAACAGACGGCAATTTGAAACGGGCGAAACGTAGTCTCTTTCTACTTGTTTTATAAAGAATAGGTACAACTTAGAGATGAATGTTTATCAAAAATTATCTTCAGTCTTCACACGTGGGTACAAAACATGTGAAGGGGCTTCTGAGAAAATACCAGACTAGCTTCATCCTCTAAATAAGGAATAGTCAATGTGTTGCCTAGCAGATGCTGTTGGACTACAGCTCCCATCATTCCAGTTCATTGGCCATGTGAGCTGGGGATGATGGGAGTTGTAGACTGATAACATATTGAAGTCACGTGCTGGCTATCCTTGCCCCACAGGCATACAACAGCTGATATGTCATTGGCACCAGACTGAAGGGACCCTATGGATTTTATGGGTACAGGCTCCCTTCATGTCAATCATGTGTCACTCAGAGGGCATGGACAAAATATGTGTTACTGTCTAGGGGGCAGAGCTAGTTGCAGGAGTGTTATTCAAAGCCCCCTCATGAGGTCAGTGTCCGTCCCCCCCAGTGCTAAGCAATTGAAATGGGTAAAGCTATTCTGTACTTTTTAAAACTGGTGGTGAACTGGTGGTGAAGTGTGATGTCAATTGATCATATATTGCATTTATGCTTATTTATGCATTTATTTCTAGGTTTATGAAATAAGAACACCATCTAACCTACCTCCACAAAAGAGCTTTCTGTAAAAGTACTGTTTTAGAAGGTGAGTTTCTGGAAAAGATGTTGATTTTCACTCAGAATATTAATTTACCTAACCCAAATAGTTCTTCCAACAGATTTCCAAGTATACTTGTAACTGTGACTTTACATTCTGAATAAATACTGAATTAGTAACAAGAGACCTTAACGTTCTCTGCTCTTTTTTCCAGGGGTTGTAATGGCAGGTACAGCAATAAGACTGCGACAATTTGTAGATACATCACCACAAATGCCTCCAGGGTAAAGTATCAAAAACAAAGCCCAGTTCCTTCAGAAACAGGTTCAGGATTTCACAAAACATTGCATTAACCAAGCAAGTTCAAGCGTGTCTGACAAATCCTTATTCTAAAGGCTCAAGAACAGTATTTGAGAACATCTAAACTTTAAAATTTGCATTTCATGTACTTTGATAATCTCTACTATCACCTGGCAATCTGGAGAAAGTTTTAATTAAAAAACCCCAAGGCCTAATTAATTAATGTAAAAAAAATGAAAGCTCCAGAAGACAACAAATGCAAATTGAGTGACATACTTAAACAGTTCACTAATAATTATTTGTAGAGATTTATAGAAATTCGGGCAGCAAATCTCAGCAGAGAATTTGAATACTGAATCCCAATAATGATTTCCCCTTGCTTTTTCTAGGTATATTCTACATCAGGGAAAGGATGTCGTTGGTTACTATCCAGGGCAAACGGCAAGGGTTCATTATGAATATCCTCCTGAAAGTGAGAGAAGGTATGAAATGTATTTTGAACAGCTGCTCACCCCTTAGGAGGTGTTCTAATTAATTAAGGTATGAGAAGTTGGCAGCAATTGCACACCGAGACAGTTCTGCATATGGCCCTTTACTGCCTTAACATTAGAAATTTATTGTGACAGGTAGGACACACAAAAGCTTTTCCCCGGGCCTGTCTTGCACTCTTCCCATTTATCAAATGCTGAAAAGGTCAACACTGATAGAGCCTTTGTTACTCCCACCATTCGGCTCTCAGGTGACTGGAACGCCTTATTAAAATACTCAAGAACCCCATTATTACCTGGGGGGTGTCATGCATGTGCACACCACAGAATGGTGATGTGGATGGAAATAGCTTGCTAGCACAACCCCTAGATCAACATGATGCAAGCAACAGTCCAACATTTAGAGGGACCATGTTGGCTGCCTGGTTATTATTTCAATTTCATTGTTCTGTATGGGACAATGACAATAAAGATATCATAGAATCATAAGAGTTGGAATAGACCACAAGGGCCATCGAGTCCAACCCCCTGCCAAGCAGGAAACACCATCAGAGCACTCCTGACATATGGTTGTCAAGCCTCTGCTTAAAGACCTCCAAAGAAGGAGACTCCACCACACTCCTTGGCAGCAAATTCCAGTGTCGAACAGCTCTTACTGTCAGGAAGTTCTTCCTAATGTTTAGGTGGAATCTTCTTTCTTGTAGTTTGGATCCATTGCTCCGTGTCCGCTTCTCTGGAGCAGCAGAAAACAACCTTTCCCCCTCCTCTATATGACATCCTTTTATATATTTGAACATGGCTATCATATCACCCCTTAACCTCCTCTTCTCCAGGCTAAACATGCCCAGCTCCCTTAGCCGTTCCTCATAAGGCATTGTTTCCAGGCCTTTGACCATTTTGGTTGCCCTCCTCTGGACACGTTCCAGTTTGTCAGTGTCCTTCTTGAACTGTGGTGCCCAGAACTGGACACAGTACTCCAGGTGAGGTCTGACCAGAGCAGAATACAGTGGCATATCGTATCGTACGTAGAATATCGTATCTTCTTCTTCTTCTTCTTCTTCTTCTTCTTCTTCTTCTTCTTCTTCTTATTATTATTATTATTATTATTATTTATTGACCAGTGACAATCTTTTCAGCAGTGGTTTCCCCACTTGCTGAAAGCCCTCCCTAGTGAAGTGCACCTGCTTCCATCATCATACACTTTCAGGAAGAATTCAAAAACAGTCTCTCTTTATCCAGGCATTAGGTGGCTGAAGAATACCATTCCTGGCAATTGCTGGATAGAATAATGTTTTCAACTATGGCTGCTTTTAGAATGTTTTCTAACCCGTACTAGAATGTTTTGTTTCTAAATTGTGTATCTGTTTGTGGCCCTGGACTCCTTTGGGAGGGAGGTTAGGTTATAAATTTAATAACATAATAATAATGCCTTTGCTTTTTACACAAAGAGAAAGTGTGTTTGAAGTAAGTACTCGAAAATCCTAAGCCGTTAATTTGGCATAAACAGAGTCACTTCACACATCTGAATGTAAATTCCTCAAAAGTGCTCACATAAAACTTGGAATTAGTTAGCATCACCTGAATGCGGATTTGACACTTCTGGTGTTGAGGAACAGACACTGACCCACAAAAGAAATTTAATGCACACACATACAAACTACCAGAGTGCTAAAGAAGGGGAGGTGAAAGTTTGGGGATGTTTAAAATGGATTGTAAAGCTTGGTCTATTTGACTCATCTAGCCAATTTGTCACCCTATCTTAAAAAGAAAAATGAATCCCCGAAGAGAGGAAATGTGGACTAGTGGTTAAAGCATAGGGTTTCCCCCTCCCAACCAGATCAATCCTGGTTTGAATGTGCATTAGCCCTACATTACTCTCCATTACTGTTAATATTTTCAGTATAAATGCGGGCCTTTTGTACTCTCATGTAATTCTTGATACATAAGTAAAGGTTTCTCATGAGGATACTTAATTTTTTAAAAAAACCTCCAGCTAGTATTGAAAGCTATTTATTATATGTTACAGTAAGCTTCCACAACAGAATAAAATCAATGCAGTTTACTCTGCTGCAAGTGCAAAGTGCACAGCCTCATTTGCACTACCTCAAGAACCCGATATTCAATTGGCACAAACAATAGCTTATTGTGAGTCTGGCTGTAAGCTGCCATGCTGCTAATGCCTATTAGACTATAGCTGGATTATAACTGAATGGTCCATTTCAATAGGATATTAGAATAAGTATTTAGATATTTGGCTACTCTTACAGGCAGCTCATGTTTTACCAAGCCGGGTGTCAACACAAGATTACTGAATTGTTTTATCTTTTTCATAAAGCCTTTATAGAAAAATGCAGACAGTCCCAGTAAAACGTGAAACTGTACTTCAGCATGACTATGACTATTTAGTTCTGAAGCAATATATTCACTACCAGAGGACCAAGAAGAAAGTCAGTGACTGGTGTACAACAACAACAACATACAGAGAAGCATTCACATTACCATTTTACAAATCAGGTGGGTAAATGCTTAGCCAGATAACATACACAACCTACGTTTAGGTTAGGAAAGCTCTTCAATCTTATAAAAAAATAGCTTTATGTATTGATTTGCACATTCACTTTCATACTTTTTTTTTTTTTTTTTGCAATAAAAAGGCCAACAGAAGCCTTTTGACCTTACACAGAAGCAAAGCACAGTAGTATCTTCCTTTTTAAGAAATAAATGTGGAAGGTAGCCATTAGGCTGGCTTTAAAAAAAAACCCTTCACTGTTAAACATGTTTATATAAATGTTGATGTGCATTACATGCCTTCATCACAGCTTGGAAGGGAGCTAATCGTACTGTTACCCACCTAGAGCGGAAGAGAGTAAATGCAAGAATATAGCGAGAGGTTAGCCCAACAGTTTTCATGAAAATCAACAATTGCATTAAACATTAACAAGCATTTAACCAGCGATTTGCAGGGCTTGATTTCTTAAAATGAAAAAAACAAAAACCAGTTTTGATATTTTAAAAATACACACGCAATTGAAATTAGTGCAAAAAAGAAGACGAACTTCAATCCTGCAAGCTCTGCGTATCAGGTAAAGCTATTAGCTCATGGATTAGCAGTCTACTATGAGATAATCCCAACGCTGGTATTTTGGCAGAAAGCCCTTCTGCCCAACAATTGCCTACAGATTAAAATAAACTTCTTCGCCCTTTCCAGAAGGATAAACTTCTCTGAAGTATGCGATGCTTGTCATCCTCTGAGAATATACAGGTCTGAATTCAAAGAACTGTAATGCTTCTGTGAACCCATGGGAGTTTTGGACTTGCTTCTCACAAGAAGCAGGGCCTTAAACTACAGGGTAAATCTCTTCAAACAAAGGACCAAGTCTAATATGGCACCAGGGCTGGGGGTGGGCGCCACACAAAGGGGGAAAGTCAAACCAAAGTTCTTTTTTAGCAGTCCGCATGAGCTCTGCAGAGGTGTTCCAAGAAATCGTGTGGCTTTATAGTTGAACTGGTGGGCCACTAAATTCATTTTCTGCAACAGTGCTTGATACAACTGTTACTGTTTCAATGTCTCTAGGTTAAAATCAACAATGGTTTAATAGTCCAAGCTTTGTAGTTCTTCTTCCACCATTGGGCTGAGATTAAATAATGATTTATCAGTTCAGAATAACCAATCAAGTGGATGTGGAGGAGGAAGAGCTAACACACAGTTCGGATGGGTCAAAAGCTAGAATGAGAAATTAAAATGCAACAGCCATAGCAGGGCACCTTGGTTTTTTGTTTTTAATGTGATCTACAGAGCCTTCAGAAAAGGCACATTGCTGAGGAATAGTTACATGAAGCGTCTGGTATATGCTTTTTTATGTGACTGGGGTGTGCGGGATGGAAGTGTTAGAAGCTGCCAGTCAATTATCCACAGGTTTTGAATTCATTAATTCCTTCTGAATTCAAGCAGCAAGGCAAATAATGATTTTATGTTTAAATTACAGACATTGCTGAGGATTATCATCCAAAATCTGATGCTGAATCACAGTCTGTTTGGAAAAGTTTTTCAGCAAAGAAGAAAGACAAAGCTAAACCTTCATTTATGGGAGTTTGATAAATCCTTTCAGCCAAGCTGTGTGTTTTTCTAAAACACATGCACACACCGAAAAACAAGATGGAATAACCTTTCAAGACTGCCGCCCACAAAAGTACTAAAGATGACTTCTTATACTATATGGATAGTGTTGCAATTTTAAATATGTTCTGAACTGCTTTGAACACTTCTGAAACTTGATTTTAGAGATGGAAAAGCTTGACGGTAATAGGTATCAAAAGGGGGGGGCGACATTTTTTTGGGGGGGACAGCCTTTCAGTGCTGCAACTGCAAAGCACAGGCAGAAGTTAATCAGTGTTACAAAAGGCCTCTTCTCTTCTCTTCTCTTCTCTCCTCCCCCCCCCAAAAAAAATTGACCATGGCTTCTTTGTCCCAGAAAGGCAGGAGTAAAAAGCAATGGGAGGTGTACTTAGATCTTACTTAGATCACTTCTGTCCCCTATGCATATTTCCAGAGAACTTACTAGGAATATATTCACTTCTGAGTGCCCCCGCCCCTGCCCCGCAATAGTGCACAATGCAGGGCAAAATAAATCATACTAGGACTTAAATGGGGGAAAGGAATAGGATTCCATCCCCTCTTCCACCCCCATTAGAGCAATACCGCTCTTCTTTCACCTTGCTCTGGAGATGTGGAAGCAACCAGGATGGTCAAGCTAGAGAGACCAGAAGCTTGAATGAGATTACTGTTTTGTATAACTCTGCAAACTGCTTCCTCTTTACCCATACTAGAATGTTTAACACTGGAAATACATGAGATGCAGGGTATCATATATAGACCTATCCCAATTTTTGCAATACAGGAACACCCACAGGTCACTGGAAGAAGCAACTGTTCAAAGCTGTAAGGAAAAGTTGAGGGATTGATACAACGTTGTTTTAGGGCTGCTGCCTCCCTTCCCCCATGTGTAACTCGGGATAACACTTTAATGAATGATGGAGTGTTGTCTACGAAAGATCGTGCTATAATATATGTCTTGTCGTGTAAGGTGTATAAGACTTTGCTGCTGCAAAAACACCAAACAATTCCTACCCCCTGGGAATTTTAAAAGATTAGTTCGCAGACATGACAGTTATTTGTGATTTCAAAGGGGTTCTATCAGAGCATGCTGAATATTTTTCCTGTGTGCACAAGCATGTGTGTTGCTAAGGGATGTGTGGAAAGAATCACTTTATTTTTTAGTTAACACAGAACTATGCACCAGTGCATAGGTAGTTAGAAAAACATACCTAGCAAACTGGAAATAGCAAATTGAGCAGATTTATTATGTGTTATCCCTGCTACCAGAACAGGTAATTGTGAATAAAATGTTAAAAGGCAGAGACAAAAGAAAGCAGGCAAGAGAGGGGGGGAAATGTGTATTCTATGGGCTGGATCCTAAATTGGTTTTCTGTAAATAGGAGGCCTCCCATTGGTGGAAGGAGACTGTTTTTGCAGATTCCTTCCTTCCCCTCTTCTGGAGCGCCCCTTCCCAAACACTCCAGAGCAGACTTTCAAAGGAGCTGCAGGGGAAGGCAAAAATCAGTGAAATTCACTTCTCATCCCTCACTTTTGCCAGCAGAATCAATGCCGTGTAAATTTTGAAAATTCAGAACATATCACTGCTAATCCAGTAAGAAGGCCAGTTTTAAAGATAGAGCCCAAAATTTGAGAGAAATATTTGGATAGGGAGAATTTTAAAAGTATCCATAACCAAAGCCTTCTCCAGAATCTAAACACAATAATGCTATTCCTGGCTTCAATGACGGGTTCTTCTAAAAAGTTTCCGTACTCCAAAAATAATCTTGGCATTAACAAAAAATAACTGTCTGCAAGAAAACAAAACAAAACAGAAAACAGCAGCATACTGTTCTGATAAAAGGAAGTCAATCCACACATCAAAAAGAGAGAAAGACTAATGTTGTTTTATTCTGGTGGAAAAGCATCTTGCTAGATGTGGTTGGAGTCAAAAAGATTAAAGGGAAAGCGAACACTTACTATCTCTGGAGAAGCAATTTGAAAAAGAAGGTTGGGGGTCCAAGGAGCTGAAGTGAGGAGGGAAGACAAGAAGACCTGTTGTGTGAGTGGACTGCTACTTACGCAGCTCTCGATCCATCCCACTCTCTTTTCTTAACAGAAAATGCTTATTTTGGATTACCTACCCCTGGATTTCTGCATAAAGGTCTTCTTAACCAATTGTACACACCTGCAAAGTGGTGTATAGCACAATGTACCTCACAAGCAACAGTGGATGTGAAGACCATGCTTATGTACAAACATACTCAGCAAGTGCATCAAAAATGTTCCGTTTTTTAAAAGCTATCATGGCACCATGGCTTGTTTACCTGCTATATGGAAGCCCAAGCTTCCAATCATATTTGTCCTGATTATGATTCAGCGTACACATTCAAACTCATTCAATAGTTAATGAGATTCTCTTTAGGCTATTTGACTTTTACTGTCCCACAAGCTTAGTGAAGCTACACTAAAGCCTGTCATCAGTTTCCTTTCCCTTTAGTGATCTGGTTGCATTGTATTTTTGTTGTCTGTATGATTTCAAAATAAAATTCCTTTAAAGGCGGGGGGCGGGCGTTGTAATTAGTGCTAGTATGTCAGCACCAACTAGCAACTGTTATCTCATACAAAATGCCAGTTAATAAAAACGTAAATGCAGCTCACATATTTAGTAGAGTTATACACCAGATCTGGCTGAATTCTGAATTGGATTGGACCAATTCAGGCTGATTTGTGCCCTATCCAGATCAGGCTGAAGCAGCTACAAATCCCTACAGAGAGGGCTGGGTTGTCCCAAACAGATTTGTATTGATCTGTTGCTGAACTGTTGCTCGAAACAGTCTCAGAAAAACAGATAAGACTGTGAGAAAACACAGTTACAGCCATTTTGGTTTCACAATTCAAGTCAATGGGATTTCCAGATATTTGTAATTTCCGCATTGCTATCTGGATTTTTAAATCTGCCCCCACAAATCAGATGAGGGGAGTCCCTAAAAATTTAGTTCTGTGTACTGTTTCGGCTTACCTCTCTTACAGTAACTCTTAAAATATCAATGAAAAGAAGAAAGCTATGGAAGAATTTCAGCATAAAAGTTAGAAAGCCACCATTGTTCACCTTATAAAGCTGATGAATGATGCTGAGAATGTTACGGCATATAATAGGGATTGAAAATACTTACACATCTATAACACCGATAACTGTGGGATAAAATGACTGACATAGCAGGCATGCAATGGAATCAAAAGAAAAGGCTTCTGCAAAAACAAAACAAAAGCCACAAAATACAAAGCAACAAACATGATTTGTACATCCTGTTATCTTAGGGTATTTGCCAAGATGATTTTTTAAAAATCTATTTACAATAAAGTATTGGCTTCAGTATTTATTTACCTAGGTAGCCCAATGTGTCCCTAACAGGACTGCTAGTAGCTCCTGGGTCTACATTCAAGGACCAGACTCTGAATCCAGTTTCCGATACTCCTCTAAAGATTTGAAATTTGATGGATTTGACACTAGGCTAATGAACTGATGGATCACTGGGCAGAAGGAAGAAAAGCTGAAACGCAGAAGTATCGTAACAGCTAAAAATGTATTAATGAACTCCTTTCAGTAGTGAGTATAATAGACCTACAATATGTTTTCTGTATCTTACTTTATAATTTAAGTTGTTGCACTGTTTACATATTAAACATCCCTTCCAAGCTATCATTTCATAATAGTTTTAATAAAAACCTGTAACAAAAAAGAGTTTTCTTCATCATTATAAAATCATCCCTCTCTTTAATCACACACTACTACAGCAGCCATACAGGTAACAACAGCTTTAGGAGTACAAATGAGGATGTAAAACTCTGTGCAAAACTGCATTAATTATTTTAAGCATCTAAAATTTCAGGAAGTACCACCACCAAAAGCAGAGACAAGACATATGGTCATGAAAGTAATGTACAACCTTTGATTTAGAAAGGTAGTGTTGGGACAAACATCTGAAGAATAAAAAAATCTGGTGGCACCTTGACAAATGGTGGCAATAGTGACAAATGCCCTGGAATTTGTGAAGTGATACTGATAGTTGCCAAAGTCTTTTACAGCAGTAACAATTATTTGTCCAGACCATCTTTAGCTCTTTAATACAATGTCCAACTTCCAAAAATCATTGCTGCTTAGGTTGAGAATAATAGATATAAGAATTGACAGTCTCTTTGTGGAGTGTGCTTTCTTTTCTTCCATTTATCTAGTATCTTTAGAAGAGCTGAATCATCGACTCCCTGGATTTTCCTACTCCAATCCATTTAACTGCAGAAAGAAAAATGTATTTTGCATGACACTTTGAAGGAACAAATGACTTAGGATACTAGTGCAAATCCTACACCTGTCTACTCAAAAGAGTCTTACTCCTAAGGTAAGTGCATACAGAACTGTATTCTACGGATACTTTCAAAGACGTACCAAAATAATTGTTTTTCAATAGTCATGCAGCTGCTTAAAGCTAACTGTGTGATATCCTGCTCTTTAATTTTATTTACCTGATGTCAGTAGTTCTGTTCCCCTAAGGCCAAAGCTTTTCAAGCAATTTTGAAAAGCATTACAGAATTGGTTACTGATTTCACTCAAATCAGTAATTGGCATTCCCCCCCCCCCAAGATACAATGCACAAAATCTCGGTATATTTCACTAAAACATTCCCTTTTTAATATTATTTCTATTTTTTCAGTTTTAACAATGACATCTAACCAGAATGCAGAATACAAAATATCAGAAATATCACGAGTAAAAACTTAGCAAAGCTAGGAGCATAATCTAACACACACAACTAGAAAAAACTACTTTGATTAGAGAACAACAGCAATTACAGAGTTTTATTCTCTAGTTACTCAAGGTGATTCAAAAGGCTCTTCCAAATCTATTTAAATTAATGTCTCAAGTTAAAACAATTTCATTTTCAGGACTCAAGACCATGAAGTGATCTGGAAACAAGTGAACAGGTTTACAATGAAACCGAAATGCTATCCATACTAGTCACTAGCTTGAAAGCCAAGACTTCAGATTCCTTGATTTATCTCTTTCACTGAGTGTGACTCTCAGGAATGACTAGTTCTAGAAATAGCTACCTACACAAATTATGAATTACTGTGAAGCAGTATACAGACCCTCAGAGCAACTTTACCAATTATGATGTTTCGCGTTACAGACCCAAGTCTACAAACCGGCAGTTACAAACATAGTGATGAGTAATACTCTCAATGACAAAGCATTTCCTTAGAAGTACTTCTGCTTCTAATAGATCCCTGAAAACATTTTTTAAAAACTGCTTTGCTTACCAGGAATTCCTAGTTCCATTTCTATAAATCGAACATAGTTTTGTGCATTTACAGGCAGTTCATCAAAAGTCCTTGCATTTGATATGTCTGTGTTCCATCCTGGGAGGGTCTCATACTGAACCTCTACTTTATTTAAGACTTCTTGGTTTGCTTTATTAAAAAAAAAAAAAAAAGCAGCAGTGTAACAGATAGTCTTACTGTTGACAATATCAGACTTGTTTAATCATTCAGATAAGCAAATTTTACAACCTCAAGTCACCCAAAGGAATAAAAGATGAAGAAACAAAAGAATGGCTCTGCAAAACAGCTCAGTAACCAACTTAACATCCATCCCAAAATCCTTTGCATAGGTGAAATATAGAGAAAGGAAGTTAACTACTGTGAGGGAAATGACAGATTCCCTATAAAGCAGGGATGACGAACCTTTTGGGTCCAGAGGCCAGATCTTAATCTCCTCCACCACGCATGACAGGTTGGTGAACCTGTCAAAGTTGGTCCATGGGAAGGCAAATTCCCATGGAGTTCAGCAGGGCTGAACTCCTCACGCAAAATTTCAATCCTGCTTTATCCAGGTATCAGCTGTACAAGTAGGCAATGCAGCTGTATCTCTGTCTTAACACCCGATACCACATAAGATGTCAGGTGTAGGTCCGGTGGGTTTGTGTTTTTTTGGAAAATAGGCTCAGGAGCCAAATAAAGAGGTTTGGCAGTCAAAATCTAAGCTTGGAGGTCAGATGTTCCCCACTCTGCTATGGGGGAATTAAGGGCAACTAACTATAGAGTGCTCTTCCCAAAGAGCCTCCCTTAGTACTTATATTAACATATTTTAGGAACTAGGCAAAGTATTCTCCTGGACATTGAATTGCTAATACCTCAGGTGCTATTGTTAGAGCATTTTTTTCATTAGTTAATTTTATGGTTATCACGCTCATTTTGTTTGGGGTCAGTGGAGTTTTGGGGATTCATCTAACAAGTTCCATCAGTGGAAGCCTTGTACCATGATTTCAGCTTGTCCAACATGGTTTCTCCTCCGCACTCCCCAAAATTGGCTCGGGGTGTGTGTGTCAGAACATCCCACAGAAGAGGGGAGGGGGGAGAGAGAAAGAGGATTATTCTATTTGGCAATTTGCCATGCTTGCACAGACAGAACGACTGAAAGAGTGCAATGTTGAATTCCACTCTGACTATTCTGAGGAGTAATGTATGATCAGTTGGTACAGCATGAGACACTTGATCTCTGTTTCATGGGTTCCAGCCCCACATTGGGCAAAGGACTCCCGCACGGCAGGGGTTTGGACTAGATAACCCTCAAGGTCCCTTCCAACTCTAGAATTTTATGATTCTGTTATTTTAAGTATTGTTTACTGTGTTTTAATATTTCACGTAATTTTGTACGAATCAAATTTTACATACTGCAATTTGCCTTGTGGCTTTTATATCAGCTAATGAATAAATTACAACAGAAGCAACAATAAAAAACAACAGTAGTGAACCTACACTATAGTGAGGGGATACATCTAGCATTAAATATACCACTGGAAAAGTTATAGTATGGACACACACGATCATACGCACTCACCTGGAAAATGAGGTATGATTTTATCATTTATTCTGTAAGCAACACCAACTTTAATTTCTGGAAATACATCCAAAATATCCAATTTGGTAAGAGCCAATCTGTTTTAAAATAAAATATTGATGTGTTAGTTAGGTATAGACAAATATAAACTATAATTTTAGGAAGTAAATTTGTTTATTTTTAAAGAAAGATATAAATCACTAGGGCTTACATGGTTGCTTAGTCTTTGAAGTCACGCTTACCCATGTATATGTGACAGCCTACCTTTACATCTTGCTTTAAAATTATACAGTGGTGCCCCGCAAGACGAAATTAATTCGTTCCGCAAGTTTTGTTGTCTAGCGAATTTTTCGTCTTGCGAATTATTATTTAGACAAAGGAAACAAAGTCGCGAGACGTTTTCGTCTTGCGAAGCAAGCCCATAGGGAAATTCGTCTTGCGAGGCAACTCGCAAACGGAAAAACCTTTCGTCTAGCGAGTTTTTTGTCTTGCGAGGCATTCGTCTTGCGAGGTACCACTGTAGACTAAAAAAAAGTAACCTGGGGAAACCCTGGAATTCCAGAATAAAAGCCAAAGAGAGACTATGAACATTTAACATCAGATAACTTTCTTCCAGAAGGGGTATCATAGTTATTAGCATGGCAGCTGGCAAGTCTTACATCAGTACTGTGACTTTAAAAACCATTTTGTCTTCCACAGTGAGTCTTCAAAACATTGTTCTTTACATGAAGGGTGTTAGTTTCATTCCCATTACTTCGTATTGTTTCTACAAAGTATTATACTCTATTACAGTGCACTTGCTACCACTACAAACTACTCACGCAGTAAATCCATTGATCATGTGAGCGTATCTAAGTAACACAAGATCCAGCCAGCCACATCTTCTTTTCCGACCTGTGGTCACACCAACCTCTTTCCCACGTGTCTGCAGTAATTCTCCAATTTTCTAAGAAACAGAATATAGTCATGTTATACACTGGAGTAATATTGTTCATTTCTATGTAAACACAATTTACTGACAACAGAAAACAAAATATGCTTTACATTTCCAACCCCACATAGTGCACAAAACTTTTAACAAGGATGAAGATACAAGTACAGGAGCCACCTTTAATGCCAGGTATCAATGTGAAAATACCATTGAGCAGGCCATTTTCTCAACACTCCATGTTGATTCCATTGTATAATGCCTACCTGCTACCTCACAGGAGTGTTGTAGCTCAGTTATTGTTTGTGAAGCTCTGAAATCCTTGGCAATCTTAAATTGCTAGTCCTGTTAATTCAGCTTGGAATCAAAAAGGCAAACTGGTTCACGTGCATCGTCACTAGTAATAAAGATTCTGCAACTGGAACTTAGTTAACAATTCTGCTGCTGATTCATGAGCAAGAACAGAATTCAGCTTGCTCTCCGACAGAAATATAGGCTCTGCAGGACTGAGGAATAAGCAGTAGTTAAAAACTTTTTAAAAGCACATATAAACACCCAGGCAGCAGATCTGTGGACTGAGAAACTTACATTTCAGACAGAAAGCAGCAGCACTTTAAAGTATGTGGTATACAGAATCTGATGCCTGGGAGAGTACAGCCATGCATACCTTAAATCATTGGTCTTCAACTGATGGGTCAGGAGCCACTACAGGGTCACAACCTGTTCTGAGGTGGGTCGTAACAAAAGCACTACCACCATACAAACATATGGTTAAAAAAAAAAGGACATGGGTCCCCAAATGCATATTGGATTAAAGGTGGGTCCCAGGTGTGAAAGGGTTGGAAGACCACTGTGTTAAATAATATTTCTGAGAACTGTACATTCATTTACTTTGTTCCAATAACTCACATTAATGTTAATGCTATACTTACATTGTCTTGTTCTGTGGGAAAGGCACCAATTCCAACTCTAGTTGTGTATGCTTTCACAACTCCATATACTTCACCAACGTTCTGTGGTGGCATACCCAAGCCAGTGCAAACACCTCCCACGGTACAATTTGATGAGGTCACGAAAGGATAAGTTCCTGTTTCAGAAGGGCAAGGAAGAGAAGATAGGAATGAACTAAGAGTAGCACAATTATATAAAATATTATCATTGCATCTTTCTACTGAAAGGTAATTGAATAGCAAGTAACACTGGTTGTTATTTAAAATGACAACACATCCTTAAAAATGGTGGTACAGTTTCAATGCCAAGATGTACAATGAACATTCAATGTACAAGAACGACTATAATGCAACCAGTCTTAAACAGCTGTATTCTGCACAGTCCTTCAAATACACGTGACAAGTGACAAGTACCTCACACATTGTGACTATGATAAAAAAGACTTTATACATACCAAAATCAATGTCCAGTAGTGCTGCATTTGCACCCTCTACTAAAATTTTCTTTGGTGGGCCGTGTAAAGCTTCATACATAAAGTATACACCATCTCTCACCATTGGTTTGAGCCTTTCAGTGTAACCCTAAAACAAACATGTCCTAGAGATTAGAATGTAGTAAACTACAATCTTCAAAACACACTGTAGACACTGTACTAAATAGGCAGGCAAATAATTATTCTAGTCTTGTAATAAAATAAAAGTGTCATTTGCTATTTGTTAGCCATGTCAACTATAGGCTATTCTTTGTGTCAAGGAGAATGTGCATAAGAACAAAGCATTTATATGTCATTCATTAGTTCTTTCTCAAGTTAAAATTATTAAGAGTCCTGCTGGATCAGACCAAGAGTCTAACAACTAATCCACTACAGTGGTGCCTCGCAAGACGAAAATAATCCGTTCCGTGAGTCTCTTCGTCTAGTGGTTTTTTCGTCTTGCGAAGCAACCCTATTAGCGGCTTAGCGGCTATTAAAGGCTTAGTGGCTTAGAGGCTAAAAGGCTATTAGCGGCTATTAAAGGCTTAGCGGCTTAATGGCTAAAAGGCTATTAGCGGCTTAGCGGCTTAGAAAAAGGGGGGGGAGCGAAAAAAATCGCAAGACTCGCAAGACGTTTCCGTCTTGCGAAGCAAGCCCATAGGGAAAATCGTCTTGTGAAGCGCATCGAAAAACGGAAAACCCTTTCGTCTAGTGGGTTTTTCGTCTTGCGAGGCATTCGTCTTGCGTGGCACCACTGTATGTTCTTTCTAACACTTGCCAAATATCTGCAGAAAGCTCACAAAGAGAGCAGGAAGAAAAGTCTTCCCCTCTTTGTCCCCCCTGCAAGCACTATTTAGGGATACACTATTTGTGAATTTTGAGTGTCCATTTAGCTACCACAGCTAATAGCATTGGTAGACCTATGCTCCACAAAATTTGTCTACCACTGTCACTGCCACATCTTGCGACAGCATAATCCTCAACTGAGCTATCCACTGCATGAAGAACTACCTTTTCATGTTGTGTGTGAATGAGAGTCAGTAGAGCAAGGTGGATGCTCCAGAGGAAGACACCTGATAAAGGCAGAAGTTGCATGACCTTGGATAGTTCCAAGCAACACTGTTACAAATCCATTTCAGTCAGTGTACCTCTCATGCAGTAAGAGGAAGAGTAAAAATGAATGTGCTAGTCACTTCACTGTGTTGGTCACTACTATTACCCCCCACACGCTGGAGTGCAGACATCTGCAGTGGGGCACCTGCTGAACCTAGTAGGCCCCTTGCGAACTTGAGAGCCCTGCATAAGCAGAATTCTAAATCTCACAGGGAGGCTGCATAAGTATGGCAGCCTCCCTACTGCAATGACTGGAGAATAGCAAAGGAAGGCATGATGGGGCAACAAAGGTAACAGGTAGCACACCTGCCCCGTTTTTGCTCATGTGATTCTACCTCTGTCAGGGAAACTAACAACTGAATATGATTACAGTATGCCTTTTGTCCATTTCCCTTGGGCCAGACTATCCCTCCTAAGTTCTGCCTACTTTTTGAAAAGCAGAAAGCTTTACAGGTCTAGTCCTCTGGCATGAAGTTTAGCACTCCATTACATCTCAATCAGCTTCTGCCTTATGAATTGTCTGTATTGCTGAACAGGCATAGGTTACTGTGACGTTCAGGGTTGGGGTCATGTCAAGGTTCACTGGGTGACCCTGAGTTCCAATACTATAAGAGAGAGAAAATGTGTTTTGATCCATATATTTTCCCAATACCAGGAATGACTGTATGCAAAAAAGGCTTTAACCAATGATTTTCTGATGTAGGGCACAAACCTTTACCAAGCTATACACTAGCTCTCAGAAGAATTGTCACATCAGTGTAGAATATGAGCTTCTAAAAGATAAAAAGACCACAGGATTCCTTTTCTACATGAAATGTAAGATTCAGCAAACAGGTTTAATTCAGTAAATAACTGACCACTGTGATAAAGCTACTGGGTCATTTGTTTCTGACTTATGATAACCCAAATGCAGGCAATTTGCTAGTTAAAGCAATAAGTTAACTGACTGCTGCTTGTGTGTCAGAAGCAGTGTTTCTTTATCTTTTTATCAGAAGAAACATACAAAGATAAATCCATATCTCTCTCTCTGTGTGTGTGTGTGTGTGTGTGTGTGTGTATAAAATGGCAAATAATTCACAACTCCTCTATAGTTTACCTTCAATCTTTTCAATTCTCCTTCAATGTCTATCTCTAAGGTAGGGTAAACAGACTTGTACTGGTTGGCCAACACTTTGAATCTAAAAAGTAAAATAAGTACAAATAAATTGTGCTTGCAACAGTTTTTTTAAAAAAACCTTGATAAAGATTTTAACTTAACACATGTGAAAACAAAAACAGACTCACAAATGAGAGATCCAGTAAGGGATTTTTTTAGAATATGAAAATCAGAATATACAAGCCCTAGTAATAAATTTATTTGAAATATTTACATTACTCTAGAGAAGTGGTTACCTTTCTGAAAATTCATTGAAGTCAGAAACTAGATCACACATTCTGAGCCCACTTCGAGCTGCTTTAGAAGAATACACTGGACCAATTCCCTTTTTTGTAGTTCCCAAGCTTTAAAACACAAAAATAAAAAACATACACATACTACACAATCTGTGACTATCAATTCAACTAGGTTGTGTTAAGTTTCTAAAAATAAAATTACTCTGGAAGTATGTTGTATGTTGTACATACTTGGTAGTTTAAAATTATCATTCACTGAGGTCAAACATTTCCCCCAGTGGGCACCCAGGAGCAGAGAAGATTAAGAAGAAACAGAATGCTGGCAGGTAGTGCAAAACATCCTCAGAAGTGTTACTTGTAATACTGATATACAAAATACTTAAAAAGCTACAGTCTAAACATTATTTAGTATTTACCTTAAAGGATGAACGAACATATTATCACATTGTTTATATGTATTTCATATGCATTTCTTCTGTGCAAATCTCAATGAATTTTCTTAACAGAGACTGTAGTGGTGTGAATCTTAGCATGCTAAGAGTGAAAAGCTTACTTAAAAGTAAAGCAACATACAGGGTATATCTCAAACGTGGTGGAACACTGCTGAGAACTGAGACTAAACAAAAACAACACTATCATTCAATGTGGTCAGAATAGTTTATGCTTTTAGACGACGGTTATATGGAGTAATGAGCTCATTATTTCCTGTTATATGACCTGCACTATACTTTTCTTCTCAGCATGGCTATCTCCACCCAAAGGCTATAAAACTGCTCTGTGCCAATCTTCCATTAAAAAGCCCATAGAATTGAGGAAACCTATTCCTGATCAAATTATGAATCAAGGATCTTGGATGCCTAACTGTAAAGTCTGTCTTAGAACTGTGTTGCCTGAACCAAGGCTAATTAGTCCTTCTGTCATAGCAAGAGGTCTTAAGACAACTCCAACAATTGGTTTAACAAACTACAAGTTGTCCCACAGATGATCAAACAAACCATGGAATGTTTCCCAAATTTTTGTTTTGTTTTCCAGCTGCTTTTGCCCCAAGCCTTAGTAGTCTGGTGAAAATCTGGGGTGGGATGAGCAAATACACCATTGTTAAGAAGGATTCTGGGTTCATATGTAATAGCAAGCCATAATTTAAATCAAGGTTCATAAGCCATCAATAAACCATGATTACAGATCATGATTTGATGGCAGTGAACAAACCATAGCTAAGCTATTGGGGAGGTTCACACAACACTAAGTTAAGGTTTAATCAACAATGGTTAGGTATTGTTTGCAAAACAAGCCAATGGCATCAATCAAGAAGTAGGACAGGTTGAGATTTGCAATGTTAAGAGTAAACAAATCACAGATGAAAAAGGGAGTGGAGAAGAATGTAAACACAGCCTGTTATGAGTCTCATACAATGACCCAGTCAGATTTTGTTTTGTCTATATCACATTCTGTGATACTAGCAAAACTTCAGATATGCAAATTTACAATACAGACAGGCCAAGTTCTGGAAAATGGAAAATGTTAACTGCACAACCAACTTTTTCACAAAAGGAGAAAAATTTCCTTAAAAGAGCCACTATCATTAATGCAGCATATCCATTCCCTGTCAAAGTAGGGCAACAACCTAGACTTCTAGAGTCCATTCGTTATACTATTCCTAAGTATCAACAACAACCACGGAACTCTTGAGTCAGGTTTGTATTATTTTGATTTATTTTAAGAAGACATTATTAATAGTTCAGTACTTCCCCATTCCATCCATATTTGCAAAAGGAAATATGTCAAGTTTGATTCTTGCCTTTTTAAAAACAATCAGCTGTGCAATTTAAAAAATACTAACTGCATGGATGGAAATGAAATCAACATCTTTATGTTGTACTAGTGCCTAGGAATATATCAAGAAGAGAGGGGTACCCTTAGATCTACAGATTTAGCACCATCACCATGATTGAGGAAGGATACATAATCCAACGAAATAACATGCAAATAAACAATTCCCACCCCAGGACAGGCTGACAGGATCCTGACCAAGAATATTTCCTCTTTTGACCATGACCAATCTAATTCTGAATGTACAAAGGAATTAAATGTGCTAAAACCCAGATATGACTTTTCAATTTTCACAGAGGATGTGAAGGTTTCCCAATCATTCAATATCATACCACTATCATTTCAATGGATCAGTGTGGGGTAGAAAAATACAAAGCACACACACTAGTATTTCCTAGTTCTGACCTTAATTCATTCATCATAACCTTATCACATGACATCACCATTACGCACATTAGGTAAGAGAGCTTAAGAGCCTTGAATCTCTGGAAGACACCCAAAATATTCTGTACTCATTATGCTGTAACATGATCCCAGAGATTCAGATACATTTCCCATTCCTGCTGAAGAACAAGATTCACATCAGTGATAAAGAGCAACAGTTTTACGGGTATGCTACTTGGAATTTAATATATGCTCTGCAAAAAATATATCCAAGTGAACTGCAAAGGTATTGAGGCTTACAATTTAAGAACAAAACTGTTGTGCAAAAACTTATGTCTTAAGTGTATTCTAAAGTTGAAGAGAATTTTGTTGCGCCCTTGAGGTTGAAAATAAACTAACTAATTTTGAATCCTTGAATCACATGTCTTAAAGTACATACAAATAAGTGGGAATGTACAGGTGTCCCAGATTTCCTTGCAAAAACATTAAGAAAGAATCTTATTGCAATGCACCCTTAACAGCACACTCTATTGAATAGATTCTGGAAGTGTACTGGCTGAAAGGCCCTCCCTGTCACTCAAAATTTCTTCCAGTATTTACAATTAAGACATTTGACAACACATAACATACTTCTTTCCTGCTTGCTCTTGTCTTTGTTGTTCCTGGATGCCATCAGCAGCTTGATGGAAGTCAAATACTAGGAATTTGAAGGGTACAAAATGAACTCTGTTGTATTAATACCTGCATTAAGTACCAAACTAAAGTAAGCTATTATTTCTCATTAATGTATGCCAAAGTATTTTGGAAATCATCATTTGCACTAGATATATAAACTTTAAGTAACAAGCACCTGGAGAAAATACAGCTGTTTAGTAAAATAATATTTTAGAAAAAGCACTTCAATTTGTGAAGACAAAAGTCAAGGCAAACAAAAGTATGCAAACAAAGCACTACAGTATGCTACAACTCAAGAGATGCCAGTCAAACCTTTTCTGTTCAAAAACATTTGCATTTCTCCAGGGCTACTGACATTCCAAGCATCTTAAAATTCTCTTATATTGCAGAAGTTATAGAGGCTGAATAGAATACATAGAATGCATCTTGTTATCCCAATAACTGGGGGGTTTGCACTAATCATCAGGGACGCGGGTGGCGCTGTGGGTAAAACCTCAGTGCCTAGGACTTGCCGATCGTATGGTCGACGGTTCGAATCCCCGCGGCGGGGTGAGCTCCCGTCTTTCGGTCCCAGCTCCTGCCCACCTAGCAGTTCGAAAGCACCCCTAAGTGCAAGTAGATAAATAGGTACCGCTTTATAGCGGGAAGGTAAACGGCGTTTCCGTGTGCTGCGCTGGTGCTGGCTCGCCAGAGCAGCTTCATCACGCTGGCCACGTGACCCGGAAGTGTCTCCGGACAGCGCTGGCCCCCGGCCTCTTAAGTGAGATGGGCACACAACCCTAGAGTCGGACACGACTGGCCCGTACGGGCAGGGGTACCTTTACCTTTACACTAATCAGCAACGATATTCTAAGACTGACAAAGGCAACAAAGAAATACACCAAAAGGGTGGACTTGCTTTGTCAATGGCCACATGTGTTGAAAGGGGCCATAAACACACAATTATCTGAAGTGGAAACACATTTCGAACATTAAAGTGAAAAGGCTGGTTTTAACATACCCTGCTTCTTATCAATATTAGGTAACTTTATTACACTGCTTAACAATCTTTGTTTAAATTGGTTAATCTCTGTGATACAACAGCAGTTGCTAGTGTTTTAAGGCAGGGAGGGGGGGAATTGTTCCTGAGAAACTACTTAAGAACCATGCTATTCATTGGTGTTTTGCAGCAAAGGAGGGGACAATCCAAGGGTAGCACAATGTTCTCTTGTCTCCTGATCAGCTTAGCTGGATAGATTGGGGAAATGTCCGCCATCTTCATCTGTTATGAGTTTGCTAGACCTTTGATGCTTGCAGTAGAAATCATTTTATGTGCAGAAGAGAAAGCCAAGGTACTTCCTCCCTTGCATTTCTTGTTTGATGGGACACCAAAAAGGTAGACGAATAAAGACACGCTTTAGGCTAGATGTTGCTCATGTTGCCATTTGGTCACCCCTGGTATAAATTGCATTAGTATGCAGTATAGAAGGCATAAAGGTAAAGGTAAAGGGACCCCTGACCATTAGGTCCAGTCGAGGACAACTCTGGGGTTGCAGTGCTCATCTCCCTTTACAGGCTGAGGGAGCCGGCGTACAGCTTCCGGGTCATGTGGCCAGCATGACTAAGCCGCTTTCTGGCGAACCAGAGCAGCGCATGGAAACGCCGCTTACCTTCCCGCTGGAGCGGTACCTATTTATCTACTTGCACTTTGGCGTGCTTTCGAACTGCACATTTATTTATACATAAGGCAATAAATAAGATGATCCTCCAACCATTCATCTTGACAAATTCTTGACATAAACATTCATTTGCGGAAGAACACATTTACTATAAAACAATTACCAGTTTAGATAAAAAACACCTCTTGTTTAAGAGTTTGATTTCCACTTTGATAGCCAATGCAGTATTTGTCTACTATGTTGGGAGGCTGTTCTCTTTCAATAGCTGCTGTTGAATAATGTAGGGGGGGTCTACATTTGAAGTGGGCACAACAAAAGGCCCCACTATGTGCATGGAACATTCCCCCACAGCCCTTTGTATTCTAACCTATATTACTGCTAGATATTTACAAATGAAAAACAAATCAGAGCTAGAGATTAAAAAATACTTTGAATCATTTAATATATTTCAATATTTTTTACTTACCAATATGAGCTCTGTCAGATATAATTAATCTTTTTTCCCAACCTTCCAATCCTTTGAAAAGCAACAAAAGAAATATTATGGGGGAAACACATTTAGAAATCAGTTACTTTTAATTCTATGCATTTTTAAAGAGAAGAAAATTCCACTGCCTTTGGTGGTACTTACTCCCAAGTAAGTGTGCAAAGGATTACAACCTAATGTGATCAGTTGAATGAAGAGACAGTTTAGAAAATACCACAAAACTAACTCAATGTATCTTGGAAAAACCAAACAAATTTCAGTCATTGCTATTTGTCTCAAACATACAATATCTTGAAAATGGATCTATATAAAACACTGGCTTATGAACACTCTAACTCGCAATAGAAACACTAGATATTTATTTAATATTACTTCTTCCATTTAAATTCTATTTCATCATGTGGCTTTAAAAAAAAGTGTTGCATTTAGATAATCTGAACACTAATCCAACATTCTTGGCCACTGAAAATTTTAAAATTATATACAGCGTGTATTTGTATTTTAAAGTGTTGTATGTCATATACCACTTACTTTAAGTGCTAAATAGAAATAAAGGGGGGGGGGGATTCTGAACAAAAGAAATAAATCTTTGAGAATTGGTTACTTTTCCCCTCAATGCACCAAGTGGATACCATCAGGCAACTCAGGAGCAAAAACACATTGGTAATTACCAAGTTCTGCTATATACCAATGCGAGAGAATCCTCGCCATCTCCCTACGATACCTTAGAAAGCTATTCTTACCTTTTCCTTTTTTAACATTTTTCTCTGCTTCTTCAAACAATCCTGGCAAGTGAATTACCACACCATTTCCTGGGGAAAGCACGAAAAGGGAGTGATCAATGAGGAATACAAGAAGGTTAAAAGTCTCAAAAACCCCAGTTTTGACTTTGCAAAAAGGAAAAGCATTTACCGTATTTTTCGCCCTATAGGACGCACCGGCCCATAGGACACACCTAGTTTGGGGGGGGATAAAGAAAAAAATGTTATTCCCCCCCCAGCCGCGGGAACTCCCCCAGGGCTCCCTAGGCTGCGGATAGCTTCCCGAAGCACAGGGCGCTCTGCTTCAGTGCACCCTGCGCTCCAGGCAAGCAGGCTGCTATTCGCAGCCTAGGGAGCCCTGCGGGAACTCCCGCGGGCTCCCCAGGCTTACGGATAGCTTCCTGAAGCCTGGAGAGAGAGAGGGGTCGGTGCGCACGGACCCCTCTCGCTCTCCAAGCTTCAGCGAAAGCCTGCATTCACCCCATAGGACGCACACACATTTCCCCTTGATTTTTGGAGGTTGAAAAGTGTGTCCTATAGGGCGAAAAATACGGTAAATACTAAAATATATCTTATATTACTTACTTTTCAGTTAAAGTCTAGGGCATTGGTAGGCAAACTAAGGCCCGGGGGCTGGATCCGGCCCAATCGCCTTCTAAATCTGGCCCGCGGACAGTCCAGGAATCAGCATGTTTTTACATGAGTAGAATTTGTCCTTTTATTTAAAATGCATCTCTGAGTTATTTGTGGGGCATAGGAATTCATTCATTTATTTTATTTTTACAAAATATAGTCCGGTCCCCCACAAGGTCTGAGGGACAGTGGACCGGCCCCCTGCTGAAAAAGTTTGCTGACCCCTGGTCTAGGGCTTCAATCCAATGGTGACTTTGTACAGTGGTACCTCAGGTTACAGACGTTTTGGGTTACAGATGCTTTGGGTTACAAACTCCGCTAACCAGGAAGTGGTTGCTCCAGGTTAAGAACTTTGCCCCAGGATAAGAGTGGAAATCACGTGCCGGCAGTGCAGCAGCAGCAGGAGACCCCATTAGCAAAAGCACGCCTCAGGTTAAGAATCGTTTCAGGTTAAGAACGGACCTCTGGAACGAATTAAGTTCTTAACCCAAGGTACCACTGTAATCACATGTATAAGGCACTGAAAGCACCCAATATTTGAGTAGTAGGGCGGGGATGTGGGAAAAGGAGCACAGAGGGCTGGTGTAGATTAGAGTCATGTGCGCCACCCTATACAAGCATTAGTGCTTTCCACTAAAGGTAAAAAGGACCCCTGGATGGTTAAGTTCAGTCAAATGCAACTATGGGGTGCAGCGCTCATCTCACTTTTCAGGCCAAGGAAGCTGGTGTTTGTTCACAGACAGCTTTCCGGGTCATGTGACCAGCATGACTAAACTGCTTCTGGCACAATGGGACACCATGATGAGTGCCAGAGCACATGGAAACACCATTTACCTTCCCGCTGCAACGGTACCTATTTATCTAGGTTGGCAGAAGCTGTGACAGAGCAACGAGAGCTCACCACCATTGTGCAGATTCAAACCGTCGGTGTTATAGAGCCCCAAAGGCATTTCCTAAACTGGGAGTTTATCTTTTGGAAATATGATCCTGATATAAAAACTGGAAGTCCTCTCAAAATATAAATTAATCTGGGAAAAATATTCATTTTGAGAGCATTCACCCTCCCCAAAGGGTAAGGTTCAATGACTCCCATCTATTAATATCTGAATAAACCTCTTTTATTAATTTCTTTACATTAAGTGTAACTAACTGTGTTATATCTTTTGGCATTAGGATGCCTAGATATTTAATAGTGTATGGTTCTTGATAATAGAGTGCACTGCCAAACAGCTACATTTAATGTTTCCATCTTTACCTAAGTAGACAGGCATATCTTGTCATGACCTAACTTGGCTCAAAGCTCCCAGTAGAGGCAAGGTTGAAGACGTGGTACTTACTTGCATAGGAGCCAACTACTAGGGGACAAGGTTCCTTCGCCCCCCCCCCATAAAATATTTGAGAGGGCTGCCATCCAAAGTTGACACCCTTGCCCTCCTCCCAGTATTTTATTCAAGTTGGCACCCCTGCTTACTTGGAAGGGCAGGGTCACATCCAGAAGAGTTTAGTCTGATAATCTAGTCCAGGGATAGTCAACCTTTTTATAGCATCTTTCTTGACGGCAAAATTTCCTTACTGCCCACCAGTGCTCAATGGAAGGAGGATTCAGCTTGTGCCGCAGAACCCCTACCGCCCACCTAGAATCCTGAAATGCCCACTATTGGGCGGTAGGGACCAGGTTGACAACCCCTGATATAGAGGTTAACAACTGGACAACAAAAATGGATTTTACGCATTCTAATGGTAGCCAAGAGGCTGATATTGAAGAACTGGAAGAATAAAGACATGATCTCCTTTAATCAGTGGATTGATAATATGATAAGACTTGCAACCTATGAACGGACTGCTTACAGACTCTGCTTGGATAAATACAAATTTATACAAAATGTAGTAGGCTTTTAATATTAATATTTACATTAGTATTAAGATAATAATATCAAATTTATAAAAGAATGTATGGGTTAGGGTATTTTTATATATATTCATATGTGTTTTTTCCCCTTTACACAGTTGTGTGCTTTGTCTTTTCCTCTTTATGTATCACTTACTGCTTTATATTTGAAAAAATTCTATAAAATAACAATTACCAAAAAAAAAAAAAAAGACTTCAAACTATAGAGGTACAGTATATTCTGAAAAATACTACTTACCAATAAAAGCCGTAACTTTTGGATTGATGATACCACTGGGTAAGAGATGGAAATCATATTCCACAGAATCTACTACGACAGTATGCCCAGCATTGTTGCCTCCCTGCAGGTAAGATAGGATTTATTATTCTTCATTTTTTCTTAAAATAGTTACTAAAAGCTCACATTAGAACTAACAACCCTTTCATACATGTTGTTCCTGTCTGTTACTTGGAAGAAAAACAAATCAAGCTACTTTTTGCTTAACTTGGTAACATAAACAACAAATCTCAAACCTGTTACTAACAGTCTTGAATGTATTGACAGTTGATTGGTCACTGATTTAAACTTGCTTCCAAGATGTATTTTCATTTACAAATACACCCACAGTTTTTCAATCACAATGCAAAAACTGTTTCTAAAGAAATAAATGCAAAAACTAAGCTTCACTGTGTGTCATGTAAAGTCAGTTGTTTTGACCAATGAAAGACCTCATTACTCCTAAAGCATTCATATTTTAATAAACTGTCGTAGTTGAAACACTGGTTCAGAACCAGTGTGTTATGCTAACTATAATTTTAATATATTTATACCTCATAAAATTTATACACTGCTTGATTGTAAAAAAAAACCCCAAAAACTCAAAGCACCAAGAAAATTAAAATGAATCCACTTGAATTGACAAAACTGCCACAAAGAAAACTCACAACTTACTTCTGTAGTGTGATGTTTGATTTTGGAAGATATTCCTTGTAAAAAATATGAGAACCCACGCCTTGGATCCATGTTTTGTGGCATGGCAGCACTGGCAAATGCTAGGTTTCTTATTTTTTTGTCCAGTCAACCAAGAGACAAATGTCACATTTTCAGGAGGATCCATTTTACTGGCTCCAACCTGTGTGTGCATGCATGTGCCAAAGAAAGTGCACGCTGGTTTTCATATTCTACTTTCTCCTTTCCTCTCTCTTACTCCAGCCTCTCTTCCCCAACTCCTGTGTCACCCAACTTCCAGCCCCCTCCTGCTTCCTGCCAGCAATTCTACTTTCCTTTTGCAGTCTCCCATCCGGATAGTTATCCTTTCTCCCAGTTTTCTGTTCATTTGCTCAAGTGTTGTTCTGAGGTTTAAAAACTATACAGAGATGAAAGACGAAATGAACAACACTTTCCCTACTTCCTCTTCCACTGTTTTGTTGATCTGAGGCACACTTGGTGCTTAAGTAGGAAAGTGTGTCACTCTTCACCACTTCTTTCAGCATTATGTATTTTTCAAAGAAAAAGCACAAGCACTATCGCCACCTCATGAAGGAGGGGGCTGCAGGGATTTTACAGGTGGTAGCTGAAGTCTTCAAAGGAGTCATTACTGAATTGGTAATTCCAGTAAAAAGCAACCAAGCGTTACCATTTTGTAACCTATTCTAATGCATAGGTAAACCAGTACAAGGATGATTATTTTAACACAGAAATACTAATAATTTGTAGCAAATAATTGGACAACCCTATGTGTGCTTCCTAAGTCCTGGTGCTTTCAATGGGGTTTATTCACAGGTAAGTGAGCACAGAACAATAGTCACAAGCATTCTTGTTTAGAAGGAAATAGTCACAAGCATTCTTGTTTAGAAGGAAATTCATTGTGTTCAATGGAATGCTAGAGCACATAGTTCTCTTTTGTTAATTAGATAATACAGTACAATCCTAAACTCACTCAGAGTTATCTAATTAACAAAAGAGGACAATGCTTTTTTAAAAAATTAGGCCAGTTTAACTGTGCTGTGTAAGAAACACACAGAATGTTCAGTGACTTTCGTGGTTGAATAGCTAGTAAAATATGCAAACACAGCATTCCAGTTATGTGAGCATACTGGGCATATTTTTTCTGACAAGATTTACCTTGCAGTAGTCCACAGTGCCAATATTTATAGAGGTCTAGCATGCCATTTCTGCCATGTCTTAAATGTTCAAGAGATTCATAAAGCATTTCATTGGCAGACTAAACCATTAATTCATTTGCCTTGCCTATCTTATCTTTTTCATACATCTAGAAATTTAGAATCACCTTTTTAATCACCTCATGAGAATTAGAAAGGGGTTCTATACATGAGTTCAGAAAAGAAGGATGGTGTTCTCTACAAACTTTTATAATCCCATCCTATGTTACTTCATAGTCTTAAATAAAGTCAAAAGAATAGTACATAAATTTCAATGAGTTGTATCCACTGAAGTTGTCACACTCATGCAAGGGTTTCTGTTCGTGCAGTAATACTTCTACTGGCATATGGACGAGGGGAGGGGGAGCGCACCGCACCGGGTACCATTTGGGGAAAGGGTGCCATCGCAACCGCACTCCCAGGATGCGCACCACACGGAGGTCCGTTCTTAACCTGAAACTGTTCTTAACCTGAAGCACCACTTTAGCTAATGGGGCCTTCCGCTGCCGCCGCATGATTTCTGTTCTCATCCTCAGCGGAGTCTGTAACCTGAAGTGTATGTAACCCGAGGTACCACTGTATACTGAAATCTGACTTCTAATAAGTTCTGTTACCTTTAAAACAATTTAGGTTTTATTTGATCTGGAAGAACTCTGAAGTTTAAGAAATGTATACAGAGCAAAGCCTTCAGCAAAACATATGATTCAAAATTAGAAAAGTGTATTTGGCCTGAGTGCGTTGGTATGTTATCTCTGCAACCATGTTATCTCTGCAACCATAAGGACTAAATGATAAGAACAGCATCCAAAGCTCATCATGCAGCTCTCCTGCCTATGCTGTTCTTGTAAGACATGGTGCCGTCTTGCCCCAAAATGGCTACTAGACACTCCATTTTGGCAACTGTAACCTTGGTTTAAGGAGCTATTTGGTGCCCAGCTTATATATCTGAGTTTCTAATGCTGGACATAGAAATGATCTCAAATTTCAAACAGCAGAGTAAAGAGGTACATCTGCAGCATACAATGAAAACCATATTGTAAACAGCCCTGCGACCCTTGGCTGAAGGGCAGCATAGAAATCTAATTAACAATAACAATAACAACAACAACAACAACCGTAAATGAAAGTAACAAGCACACTTCTGTGGGGAGGGAATTCCACAAGCATCCCTTTCTTAAGGAAATTAGAGATCAGGAAACCCTTATATCAGTGCCTATAAATCAATATCAATGTTATTTTCAGGCATCTCAGAAAGACTAACTTTGGATTCCAAGTTTAAATAACATTGATCTGAAGAGGTAATGCTATCATTTGATCCCATAGTATCTTTTAAAATTGAAAACATTTTATACAAATAAGAAATGTTCTATTTCTTACATTCAAGAATAAGAAATGTTTCTCAAGTCTCTCTAGAGCTGCTCATCCAAAAGAGCTACAAAGCTCATGTCCTTACTTGAACTTCTTTCCTAGCAGTAACCTAATATGCCAGTTTCTCTTGCTGATGAATAGTTGTGAGCTACTTGAAACTGTGCAGGCATTTCATACATTCAACTTCTGGGGTAGAGGGGTGGGGAATCAGTCTCCAGTATTACTCTCCCTTTAGTAAAGTGGGTCTCCGGTATCGAACCACACTGGGCACATGCAGCAAGAAGAAAGCCAGAATGGGTTCCTGGGAAACAAGGATCTCTTAAAAAATCTTGCATTTGGGGAAGGGAATCTGCCTGCCTTCCCCACTTCAAATACTAGCTTCAATAAGAGTTGGCCTGTGTGCACTTGCTTTTGTCACAGCAGTGTTTTGCAGATACTGTGTTGTGCTGCCTTGAAAGTACTTGTTAGAAAAAGAGGTATAAATTACAGAAACAAATTCATTCAGAAATTACTTTCTCTGAGCAGTTGCATGGGGCCAAAATCCCTGCCTCAATTACCATGTGCGAGCAAATGGAACCAGAACCTCTCTACTCCTCTAAAGTGGTTGTTTGGAATATGGATTTCCCTCAAGAATTTTGCAAGCCAACATGCTTGTACTTCCTATTAATAGTTATTTGTTTAATGAATTTTTATCCTGCCCTTCCTTCTTGGGGCTCAGAGCAGCATTAAAATAAGCTAGTGCGTGCTGCTGAAATCATGGAATTTTTATTCCTTCTCCCAGAGGCGGATTTAGGGCAATGTGACCAATTCCGCCACACTGGCCACCAAGCATAGTGGCCGCTGCAGAGCATTGCAACTACAACATAGTGAACTGAGCAGAACAGAAGGTGAGATGCATGGGGTGCCAAATTTTGGCCTTGCAGAGGGCGCCACTAAAATTTGAAAGATCAAAGTTCGTCCCTGCTCCTCCGTTCCAACTGCTGCCATGTCAGGGAGGAAACAACTCTGAGTCTGTCTTGTTGTCACATGTGAATGTGGGTTTCCCCAAGCAAACAAGACTGTGGGTACTTTCCTCCCTGACACAGGTGCCTGAAATTTCAGCAATGGGCAGAAGCACACTGATTCTTCACATTAAATCATAGCTTATTTTAACTATGGTTTAATGGACATGCAAACTGGGCCAATGAGCTACACTTAGATAAAACACTACTTTCAGTTTTAATTTAACAATGCATGCCAGGCCTGCATTGTTAAATTAAAGAGAATGAAATCTCCACTTAGACTGCACAATTGACATCCACCTGTACAATGACACTTCTTTCTTCTTCTCCTCCATGCAGTTCCACATGTGCCCCCAAAATCTGCTAACACTCCAAGCAGATTTTGGGGGTGCACACAGTAGAGGATAGGAAGGGGAAAGACAAGTCCGCCACCAATGTCATCCACCAACCGCTGCTCAAACTATGCTACCAGACAAATAATTATGATAGCCATATGGAAAACAATCACACAGCATCAAAACTAGCAGACTCTTAGGCAACATTCTAAAATCCTTTCAGTCCCCAGGTCTCTACATTCCCATATAAGCAGACTAATATAGTAAGTAGTTAGAAGAGGAGTAGAAATGACAGGCTGCATAACATGTATCAAATCCAGAGGAGCACTATAACTATTCTAGTATGAGCTGCACCGCAACTTCAACTATGCATATCTATAAATCACATTAGCTACGCTTACTATGGATATACTGTGTATCAAGTGTCCTGAGGGCTACAGCTGAAAGGACACATGTGAAATCTTAGCCAAGCCTGTGGATTGCAACTACACTCTT